AAAAGAACATATATGAAATTACCTGATCGCGAAAAAGTGTTTACCCTTTCCAAATATGAACATTTCACATATAAAATAAAAATATCCAAAACTTTACATCTAAATATTATTACATTATAACGTCACCAACGAATTCATACCGCAAGCATACAAATACGTAGTATCAAAGATTTAAAATTATTTCCATGCACGTTACTCAACTAAAACGTATACAAATTCCTACAAACATAAAAATTCACAAAATAACTATCATTAATTAAAATATAATTAAATTCAAAAAAACACTACTAAAATATAAATGGCACATACATTAATTAATACATAATAAATACCCATTTCGAATTCGCTTTAGTTACGGCCATGGATCCAAAAATTCACGAACCACTGTTTTACACAACACAGAATAAAGCCAAATACAAAATTTCCAGATTTTTTCCTAATTTCCCCCCTTTCCGATTAAAGAACCGTAAATCGTCCATTAATATCACAGACATATCCCATGACTCTCATTTCCCTCACACATAATGCGTAATCGGAACTGAGTACTGCTCACATTATTACCAAAGTCCCAGGTAGTAACCTTTATCGCCTCCAAAATGTCGCCCAACTACCAGTTACCATATTGTAAAGATCAACCTTCTTTCGTTTAGCTTTCAAACTCTAACATAGTACAGCCTTCACTGGGGTAATAAAAAGAAATATATAAATAATGTTCCTCAATAATTTTCTCATATTTTTAAATGGCAGGACTCTAAACTTAACAGGTACACTCTTTTATTCAAATTGTGCTCAGGAATATCATTCATATTTGTCAAAGATACAATACTTGAATCTGAATCAATTAAAGAACATTACTGTACTCTCACCAGAAGAAATGTACGAAGTCCTTGTTAACATGGTTCGTGATCTCATATAAACGGAGCTCAAGCATATTCAGACCATTTGTTGCGAGTATTTTAGGCCAACGTTTTATCGATTTCGATTACATTTCTGCTACGTGCCTACAGTTCGTAATGGACTGAATGCATACAGAATCGAAGATAGCTTGGTAAAATTTATTTTCCGGAAAGAAACACTACAATTCTGGAACGTTTCACCAAAATACTCGTACAGTTGTTGCCAGCATGACAATCAGTAGTCACCACTTCAAAATACTAAGAATGTTGACCTCTGAATTAAAAATTGAAAATTGATGCTCTCTTCCGTGTAATAGCTTTTCCATCGGCTGCCAAAAAAGTGCGTAAACCACATTTGGCGTTATTATTGCTTATAACATATATACCAAATTAAAAAACACGCCAATATGTAAATTCAAGCATATCTTAGAAACATTTGAATAAAAAACTCTAATATTTTGCAGGTGTGCCTAGAAAAACATCTTCTTTAAGATGATGTTAAAACTTTTATACAAATATTTTCCGAAAAATTTATATAAAGTATTTAAAAGTACAAATTGTAAAATTAAATCATAAAAAATGTACGAATTTTATTTGGAATGAACCTAAATTTCGAATTCTGGGAAAAGGAATCAAATAAGTTAAATAAAAAATAGATATTAATAAATATATATCAAATTCAATTAACACTGAAGAGCTTAAATTTTGAGAGCTAAAATGTATTTAAAACTACTCGTGCGATTTTTACAAAACTTGGCATTTTGGCATAATTTGAGTCGCAGAATCAAAATATGTAAAAAAAACTGGCATTTCATTTCAGAAAAAGTCAGATTTTGTATCAAAACATCTATATTAGAACAATGCTATAAATAAGTCGCGCTTTCAAGACACTAACGTAAGTCGAATTTCATCCATCGGTCCAGTAGCACGGAAGATATACAACTGTCTCACCCCCCCCCTTTTTTTTTTTTTTTTTTTCGCAGTGTACGTACATATAAATCTCCTTCAAAGAAAATTTTTAAAAAAAAGTACCCATATTCATCATTTTGGGGCAGCAAGCAGTGTATCAAAACTAATGCATCATTAAATTGCAATGAATATGGAAGTCGTCCACCATAGAGTTTATATGAATATACACTATCGTGCTGAGAATGAAAACAGAATCATACAATATTCTTATTTAAAGGTTTCGGCTTTTAGTATATTTATTTATTTTTGATTCATTTAATTTTATATTTTAGCTAACAGTGCATGCTAAAAGCTTTTCGTAATTATGAAGTAAATAATTAATGCATTAATTAGTAAAATATTCTGTATTATGACCAAATAGAAATTGCCAATAATTATTACTACGTTGAATATTATGAATTAATTATTTCTAATGAAATTAAATATATCTAATTATCTAATATCTTAATGAAATTAAATTATAATCTAATGTAAATTATCAAATTTAAATTTTATGGTCACGTTACTTTTCAGAATTATGTTGAACAAATTCAGTAATGAATTAAAAAATTTTTTCAAATATATCATTTAGAAAAAGTTATTAAAATTTAATGTAATAATAATTATAATTTTGAACTATTATTAGCCCAAAAGGGGCGTTATTCCGAAATGGGTTAAACTCGAAACGGCATTTAACGCTAAATCATGATAAACGGCGTATCACTTTTCAAATTGTTGCCACTAAATATTACGCCCTGTATTATAGTGAAGAAAATTAAATAATGAAGAATATGCATTAATGCATGTATGTTTCTCGCATTATGGAAAAACAACGGCTCCTAGAGTTATCAAATTTTGAATAACTGAGTCCTCCACCCGAACATGGGCACCTGGAAGCCCGAATTTTGAATTTCGAATTTGTTTTATTATCAATTTCATATTTTGAAAAACTTTAAAGAATTTTTCATTAACAAATTCAAAGATTTAAAGGGAACTGTGGCAATACTGTATGAAATAAAGTATTTTTATCTCCAGATCGTAAGACTGTCTTTCGGAAGTTTTAAAGATATGCTCTTTTTAAGTGTTTTGTGATTTTGAGGAGAACTGAATTTTATGAGGCGTAAGCGGGAAGAACTTGATATTTAATAAATAAAGTAAGCACACCAAACGTTAATAATAAAAGGACAATAAAAAGTTTTGTAAAATAAAAGTAAGAAAACTGGACATTAATATGATGAACTGAGAAAAGACTTAAAATATTGGAAAATGCATGCCAACTTTTAAAATACTGGATCGAGAATTCTAAACATATGCTGCTATGCTGGTTTTAAAATTTTTGTAATTTTGCTGTTGAATCGTATATGGCGTAAGGGCGAAGAAAATGATGCTTAATAACAAAGCTAGCAGAAGTGAGTGCAACAGCATACTGGTAGACTGCGAGCTCAGTGAGAGAATAAAAAATCCTTAACAAATCCTTTTGGACGATCGTTAAAATGTGAACTCTTTCAGATTGTTTTTATTATCATTATTATTATGGAATGTTTTAATGCAGTTTTCAAAGGCCAACTGCCTTATACTAGGAACACAGGTCTTTTCAATCCTTAACAACGGGTCCACTTAGTTTTCTTAACCACTGATATAATCTCATAGCAACAGTCAGTTTGACAGGATATGCCCAATCTGATGGAAATATTTCCTTAGAGAAAATTGGGAGTCTTCAGTCTGCAAAAAATTAGAGATTTCGCATAAAATTAGAAAAATTAGAAAGTGAAATATAAATAGAATGGAACAAAACTTTCAATTACTGATATTACAATATTTATAATGTTAAAATTTTAATAATAAATATAAAAACTAGAATATTATGAAAGTATTTTAGACTGCACAATAACGTATCAAATAATGGGTATGCCAAAGTGTTTTATTTATGATAATCTGTGAGAAACCAAAGTCTTTTCCTAAGAATCATAAATTATTTGGCCTTTTTAAGAACAAGAACTTGTTTTCAAATTTAATTATAATCTGAAATTTCAACATGACTCTAAAAATAATGATAACTTTCGAAATCTAGTGCTCAAACACTACGTTCAATTTATTATTTAACCTAAATTGTAACCCTTTATATTTTCTATATTATAATATTTCTCTTCGGTTTTACTGCGCTAATGCTTTTATCTTTGAAGGAAGCGATAAAAGAGTAAAATATGTAAATACCCGCATCATTAACGGTCGTGTAAAAATCATATGGCATGGATTAATTTAGAAATGATTCAGTTTAGCTCTAAGTTATAAGCAGTTACTTAAGTTAATTATAAGCATTTATTATTTTTAGTACAGAAAGGGGAAATAGCCAAATTGAAATGGTGAATTAAGGGGCTACTGCAAATAATAGTAAGAACTTTGATTTACATATTTTTTATTTTATATATCTATCTATCTGAAGTTGGGTGCGTACGTGTGTGTATGTGTGTGTGTGCATGAGTACATGAACATAAATAACTCAATTAATGCTTTATATATAATTTGATGTCTACCCTTTGCTTTCTAATGATTTCCAGCTGCTCCTACAGTGTTTTATATACTGAATAAAATCAGAAAATTTATAAATTATGTTAAATGGAATTAAGCCTCATTTCTTCCAGTTCGTTTTTTTTTAAAGCCTGAGATGGAGATTAAAATTATGTTTCTTAATTTCTTCGTCGAGTTGAACATCAAATTATTTTATTTCTAACACCACTCTGCAATTAGCTGAAAAAAATCCTTATTTTACATCTAGTCTACTTTATAAAATTTCAGGTTGGGATAACTCTAATTTGTTTCTTGAATATCTAACAATAATACTTAAATAAAACTCTTCAAAGTGGTCGTGTATGCATTTCAAATACTTTCCCGTGTAACCTTATTTTTCCGGCGATGCTTCCTTTTCTTCTTTAATGTTACTTTAACAACTCTTTTCATTGTTGCTGTTGATAACGTACTTTGCCCATTAACAGCGTACGCCCATGAACATGATAACCTATCTTGCCCATGAAATTCTTCATGGGCATGCGCGGCATTTGCGCTGTTATCAAAATAAGTTATAAAAATGAAGCACGATTTTGGAAAGGTTCTCAGTTTCACGGCGTAATATCTTACGTCTAAGTGTAAGCATTCCAATAGGTTTTGCACATTTTCTAACTTCAGATAGCAGCTTTCTAGTAACATTCGGGCTGACTCGCCGCGCTCACTTTTCCTGAGATTTAGGACATTATCTCGTGAGCCAAAGGTTCAATACTTTTTAGACTGTTGCATTGGTTGCAGTCGAAATTATTGACAGGTATATATTATAATATTTTCAGTCAAAGACTGCCCAAGATTCTAAATGTCTTCTCCTTTTACGCTTGTTCTTGATTTTGAACAAAAAGAAAAAAGAAACTCAGTGCAGCAGACAGCCCTAATGGGCGAAGGCTTGCAGTGCCCCGAAATCCGCTTTCTTGACCGTGGGCACGGGGTGCATAAGCATATGCGCTGAACAAGTGGTCAGCTTGTCGCAAGACCCCCAGTGTTTAGTCCCCAAGTGCACCGGTGGTGCTGCTGCGCGATGCGCTAACCACTGCGCCACCGGGCCAGTTATCATAAATTTATTATATTATTTGAGTTATCATAAAAGTTTTCAACAATGTTTTCTTATTTAATTCATGGTATTTATTTTATTTTAGCCTGTTAATATGAAATCTCTTGTGATCTGCGTTTTTGCCGTCGTTTTGTTGTGCGTCAATGCAGGATCGTCTTCCATGTCGTGCAGTATGGTCAATGGTCAATGGAAATGTATCCAGAATTCAAGCCCTGATGGCAACATGGCCGCTGCGGGTGCTACTTCCAACGGACAAGAAGGACACATGGCTGCTGGTTCTGGAACACCTGGGAGTTTCAACACAAACTACGGAACGAACAGTAAGTTTGTCACGTTCGTTCTTACGATTTTCTGTATTAATACTTTCGCTGCCACTTCAGATTACCATACTCACATAGGAGCTAGTTATAAAAGCGAACTACATTTTCTGTTACATTTTTCCCTGAAAATGCTTAGAAAAATATTAAAAAAGCAATTAAACTTCTTAAATGAGAAGATATTAATGGTGTCAATGATATTGATTAGAAATTTTGTTACGATAGTTATGTTGACGCTATTTTCTATTAATAAATAAATAATTATTTACAGTGAAACTTGAATTCTCAACTGTAACCCGTTGTTTCATAAACCCAAACTATTTTCAATGCAACAACAGTTAAGGCGAAAAGAAATACCTTCTTGGACCCCAAACGATTTCTTTACAGTAGCAATTTCTGCCCAAGTTCAAAAGCACAAAATGTAAGAAAATAATTACATTTAATACAATTAAGATAGACACAATCGTAAACGTATAAAGAGGATTAAATCTTTTAATTTTACAGTACTTGCACGAAGACGAGTTGGTTGCACATGTGAAAGGCGGTGGAGGAAAGGACTTCGTTTACGTCTCACTGAGCCTTATTCTCACAGAAACATTGTCACTATGATTTGTTTTTGTGTGTGTTTTAAAATGTTTCACCTGTGAGACCACTGAAAATGCTTATCCTTGTGGCTTAATATTACTTTATCGGAGTGATAGCGTTCTTCGAAACATTGCCCTTTACTACATTTTGCACAAATCTTGCGAATCAAAGAAGAGGGATGATCTTCCTTTCCTGCTTCTTCCTTTGAAAACAATTCCTTCACAAACATTTTTATTGCTGCTCCTGAAGCTGATCATACAGATCATAGATATTAAAAATTCTTCAAAGCCTAGAAAGTCTCTGCCTGCAACACATTCTGGCCATAATTTTCTTTAGCTGAATTGATGGTTTTATATGCTACTTGTGGCTTTATCACTAAAAGTTAGCCAATGAAGAATATTAAGTTATTGATGTTTCCTGAATGATGTTACGTAACCGTACCTTCGAAATACAGTCTCTAACTATTACAGTCTAGCTACACTGTAACTACACTACATTAATTAAGGTAAAATTACAAAAATGACGACTGTGAATGAAACTGATCCATAGTATACAGCTCATAGTAAGTTAGATAGTATAAAATAACATAAAAAGAAATTACCAGAATTATGAAAATAAATTACGGTGTTATAGAAATTAGTATGTCTATAAAATAAACATACCGGTTATGTCAAGTTTGGTATAGGAAAATTACCTGCAATATGGAGGATGATCTCCCCTAGAAGCAATACAACATATACAGCGATGCGCGATGCTGTCTGTTATGCTGTCTATCAGTTCCTAGGAAGTAAGAGGCATTGCTTTTTCAAAGCTATTACAAGGGTCTGAAAAGAAGAATGTAGAGCAGCTGTACGTCACCCTAAAGCATCCCAAACATGCTCCATAGGTTTAAGGTTTGGTGATCGAGTTGGCCACTCCATGCGCTGTATTATTCGCTGCTGAAGATAATCATCCAGGACGCGAGTCATGTGCTGTCCTGCGTATTCGTCCTGCGGCAGGAAATCCTCATCTATTACGCCAGCATAAGGACGCACCTAAACATCAAAGCTGTCATGTCTATAGGCATGTGCATTCACGGTTCCAAGCAAAAAGACATGGAGTTTTGTGCGTCCACCCAAAAAATACCACTTGCCTGTATTTTTTGTACCTTGCATGTCTTTCACGGATGTTTGATGAATAATAACGGATTCAAAGCTTTTTCCAAATGAAATAACGCTTACTATTGTAAGTTTTGAAGCCTACAATATTATCTGGTGAATCCGTAACTAAGTAATAATTTATATCTTAAACTATCTAGGCTAACAAAACCCAAAATCATCATAGAAATAATAGTGCTAGCAAATTAAACATAAGTGTGATTGTAATTAAACTGTAGATATTGCGTTGTTTTTAATGCTACCGAGACTCTATTCAGGTAAAGATCGGACAAAAGAAAAACGCAATGCACAAATGAATACATAATATAAATTTCAAATTAATACTTAGTTTATTAACTCTCCACAGATTATAATTAAATTTCACATCATTATTGCTATTATATTTTCATATTTAATTAAATTTGAAGTTTGATACCAATTTACAAATATGGCCTTTAGTTACTATTCCAATACAAACTATTTATATAACTGAAGAAGGAAATAGGTAAATTTCCTCTTTTCCTCTTTTACTTTAAACATTAATTTAAACCTGGACGAATAATTATTTCATAAAAATTTACATTATTAATTATGAGGAGCATTCAGCCTAAATTTAAGTTTCCTAAAGGATTAAGGAGATAGGCGAATTTTTAACAAGAACAAGTTAGAGTTCAACTTAAGCAAATTCCTTCTGTCTAAATTAGTCTTGTGCAAAAGCCAGTTAACAACACCAGTCCTTTTCTTAATAGTGGTATGAATAAAGAAGAGGGGGAAAAAAACTTGGTTTCGGTAGAAGGGTACATGGGATCTATCGGAGATCTTCGGGACTTGCAGTCGAAACGCCAGAAAGGAAAGTTTATCAAGATATCACAAGCAGCTAGGCTCTCGGTTGAGGAAAACATCGAAGAAATGTCAGGATTTTTCCAGCACGGTGACTTGAAGCGTTATGCAGAAGCAAACAGTTCCCGTATTCGTCTACGAAGGTTCACCTCCCAACATATGGAACACTCTAAGAGTAGAAAATCGATTCCTTTCAGTTGAAATGCATAAAAAATTTCTAGATTCATCAAACGGCAGTCGGAAGAGATCGTAGTCAAAACCTTCAGTAGAATTAACACACTCTGTGAGGGATGTAACCAGATAGGATCTACCATAGATGAACATACATACACGCCATGCCACGCTGCGTAATTCTTGACTGACCTTAGCAGGAAGAAACTGGAAGACGAAGGCTATTAATTAACGAAACGCGGGAACCATCCTTCATTTTTAGATATTTTAAAGTTCAATCAACATTTCCTATCCTCGACTCAACATCCAGTTTTTAGTGAAAAACGTTCAGCCGGGAGCTAAGTAGTCGCTAATCCCTTAACTACAAAAGGAAGTAAAAGCTCACCTCATCCTGCAGAACCAGGGTTTAATTTCTAAAATTAGAAGTGTTGGAGTCCTATGGAAGACCGTCAGGAAAGAGGAACAAGAGTAAATAAATAAATAAAATGATTATTAAAATCACTAACAATTTAAAAATTAAATAATACCAAGATTAAATAATTAATTATTACCAAAAATTTAAATATTATTTATTTATTAAATATTATTCTATTATTATTTAATAATAATATTATTAGTTATTAAAATAATTAAATAAGTAAAGATTAAATAGTTAACAATAAAATTAAATATAATAAAAGAAATAAATTAAAATTTTAAAAGCGACATTTAATAGAATTTTATGGCTGAAAAAAAAATTTTCCAGATCAAACTTCTACTGAAATTGTTCAATTACATAAAAGAAGTGCTTTCTTATTTTAGGGCTCCTGTGCGCTTCGGCTAGAATTAAGATTTATCCCCAAAACTAAGGCTCTGTGTACAGCATTAGTAAAAAAAATGTGCCCCTTCAAGTCACCCGTACATGAATTTTCCTTTACTTCTCACCAAAAACTCAGGCTACCACAAAATCCAATTTTTGCTCCTCTCCCCTCAATTAGTGGTCAAATTTCCGTTTTTCACCCCAAAAGACCAGACAACTGAAATTGCGCATGCGCCACTTATTTAAAAGCGGTACAAAACCGGATACGTAGATCGCCTTACAATGACCTCCCATGTAGATGAAATGATAACCTTTCGATCCCTCGTTACGTACCCCTTGTCAATCAAGTTAAGGCAATTTTTTTCTAAAAAGTTCTAAAATGACTCGGCGAAAATTCGCCCCTTTTCTTGAATCCTTTTACACAAAGTGTTTCTTGGTTAAGTTTAAATAAAGGAAAAATAAAAATATCATTGAAGCATTGGTTTTTTTTTCAAAAATAAGAATTTACATAACCAAATATTAACACATTAACTTAATAATTCATGGAATTAAATAAAAATTCAGATTTTTCCTAAATAAGAAAATAATTAACTTAATTCAGATACCATCAACACAACACTATGGCTTTTTAAGCTAACCTTGGACTCATCCGTAAAGAAAACAGCCCTCTATTGATTAGCCATCCAATGAGACATCATTACGTGCTTACCTCAACCGTTCACTTTTCTAACGGGACGTGAGCGACACGTAAATGTCTGGTCACGACGCGTACAGACCTTCTTTGTGAAGCCTTCTACAGTTGACGTTGACGCCAATCTTCCGGGGGCTGCATAAGATCTGAATTGAGTCGAAATTGTGGTTCTATTCCTTCATGTGAATTACAATAGTCTTCGGAGCTCGTCATAGCGCTTGGCCGTTCTTGGCTTAACCACCTGGATTCGAAATCTCTGGTTAGTTTGGTTTGGTTTATTAGATTAGGGCAAAGCACTCGAGGGCTATCTGCCTTAAGGGTGTGATGCCTTCGTGGAGGACTTTTAAGGGAAACTGGCTCGTATGCACGTTACACATGAATCTCTGGTTAGGATTGTTGTCAAAGTCTGTGAACCATAGAAAGACTCACATTTAGCCATCTGACCACTTCTCTCTGACTTAGTTCTGCGTCTAATCTCTCAATAGCTCTCCATCGCAGCTCTTCGAGCAAATGAAATACCTGGAAGCCATTGTTATGAACTGGCTATCGCAGATTTCTTTTCTCATTATCACAGAGAAATTTCCAGGCTTGCTCTCAAACATGCAATTTTAGGCTCCTCTCAGGTGACGTATACCGATTTCGGCGCTACTAATTTTTGCATTGCTGTTTTACTCAGCAAATCTTATTTGACAACATATTCAAATTTTTTATGGATAGGCTTATTTATGAACGAGTTTTCGCAATTTTTGTCATTTTTTCTTAATTCTAGGAAACGAGTGTA